AAATGGTATGATGCTGGCACTACAGGCCACGAACGTGGCGGAGCATCAGTGCCGGAAAGCAGTGGACTCAGAGTACATAGAGAGTTTAGAGAGCTTTGAGAGTTTTCCAACGAGCGCATGTTTGAGGGTTTGGAGAGTTGAACGATGTTTGTTATGTTGAGTTTCTTAGAGTTTTTGAATGTTGTTTGAAAGTGGTATGATGCTGGCACAGCAGGCAACACTGCAGACCTTGCTGACGACCAGGATCTCGACTGACGCTATTCGTCAAGCTAGTTCACCAGTCCTTCTACTCTATGCTTCCACGTTACCTTTCTCTAACAACACTGCAATGGAGTTGTCCCAAAGATTTCGGATATGAAGCCTGGAGGAGGAGAAAAGCGACGACTGCATATATTGCCGCACACTTGGCATTGGAAATGAAGTTTTGAGAGGTATGAGAGTTCAGATTTTGCGTTGTGAGAAGAGTTTCGAAAGTTTGGAGTTTCAGACTTTGGAGAGTCTTTTTTGTTTGAAGGTCTGAGAATGTTGAGTGTTGAGAATAGAGTGTTACGGTTTGAGACTGGAGGTTTCTAAGAGTTTTGATGTGAACTTTGAGGTGACTACTTCTGAGTAGAGTATAGAGCTCGTGGAAACCTGCTGCACGCATTGTGAAAACAAGAGTTGCATCTGTGTAATGTTGTGAGAGTTCAGATTTTGCGTTGTGAAAAGACTATCGAAAGTTTGGAGGTTCAGACTTTGGAGAGTCTTTTTTGTTTGAAGGTCTGAGAATTTGAGTGTTGAGAATAGAGTGTTAGGGGTTCAGACTGGAGGTTTCTAAGAGTTTTGAGAGGAACTTTCCGAGCAAAACTTCAATGTGAAAAGTTCAATGCATTGAACTTTCATAACAAAACTTCAAAGTGAAAAGTTCAATGCGTTGAAGTTTCACATCAAAACTTCAATGTAAAAGTTCAATGCATTGAAGTTTCATATCCAAACTTCAGTGCAAAAGTTCAATGCATTGAAGTTTCGTATCAAAAGTTCAATGCATTGAACTTTTACATTGAAGTTTTGATATGAAACTTCAACGCATTGAACTTTTACATTGAAGTTTGGATATGAAAGTTCAATGCATTGAACTTTTCACATTGAAGTTTTGTTATGAAACTTCAATGCATTGAACTTTTGACATTGACGTTTTGATATGAAACTTCAATGCTTTGAACTTTTGACATTGAAGTTTTGATATGAAACTTTAGATAAAAACGGGCAGCGTCTAGTTACAGAAAGAATTGTATAAATAGATTAAGAGGAACTCACCCTAAACCCTAAACTTTAGATAACAAAATGGGCAGCGTTTAGTTACATAAAGAGTTGAAGAGGAACCCACCCTAAACCCTAAACCCTAAACTTTAGATTAAAAAACGGGCAGCGTTTAGTTACATAAAGAATTACATTAATATATTAAGAGGAACTCACCCTAAACCCTAAACTTTAGATAACAAAATGGGCAGCATTTAGTTACATAAAGAGTTGAAGAGGAACCCACCCTAAACCCTAAACTCAAGGAACCCACCCTAAACCCTAAACTTTAGATAAAAAACGGGCAGCATTTAGTTACATAAAGAGCTGAATAGGAACCCACCCTAAACACTAAACTCAAGGAACCCACCCTAAACCCTAAACTTTAGAAAAAAACGGGCAGCGTTTAGTTACATAAAGAATTACATTAATATAT